AAAAAAAAACAGCGAAAATATCGGCATCTTAATTTGAAATTTCACTTTTATTGAAGAAGGTTCTTCATTATTCATCTGGCTAAATTTGGTATATGAATAATGTTACACAAATAAAAGAGTCGCCTATTTTAGTACCACGCTGAAACGATCGCAAATGTGCGAGAAGCTGCAGAATCCTTCAGTGAAATCCGTCAGATCGGTATTGCCCTCGATACTAAGGGTCCCGAAATTCGTACAGGTCTCTTGGCTGGAGGGGCTAGTGCAGAGGTAAGACTGAAAATTTTTTCTTATCTTAGTTTTTGTGGATCGCAATGTTCCTCTTTAGGTTGAACTGAAGAAAGGTGCTTCGATTCGTCTCACAACCGATCCCAAATTCAAAGAATCTGGAACAGGAATTAATCTCTTCGTTGATTACAAAAATATTCCTAAGGTATGTAGATGTTGGCGTAGCCCTCCAACAATTTTTTTTGTCAAAAATTAATTTTTTGTAGGTAGTCAAAGTAGGATCTCGTGTTTATGTCGATGACGGTCTGATCTCACTCATTGTTGACGAGATTCATGATGATGCTATTGTTTGTACCGTTGAAAACGGTGGCATGCTTGGTGAGTCCTACCGTAATCCTACCGTACTCTACTTCTTTCGTACAGTAAACGTGGAAGTTTAGGCAGCCGTAAAGGTGTAAATCTACCTGGAACAATTGTTGATCTCCCTGCTGTTTCCGATAAGGATATACAGGTATAATATAGTTTTTTTGTAAGAAATTTTTTTGAATAAATATTCTCTTTGTTTTTAGGATCTGAAATTTGGTGTTGAACAAAATGTGGACATGATCTTTGCTTCTTTCATTCGAAATGCCGATGGAGTGCGCACAATCAGAAAAGTAATTTTTTTTATAGTTTTCACTTTTCTGTGTCCTGTAAATAAACTTTTTTCTGGCTAATCAGTATTTTTTAGGTCCTAGGAGAAAAAGGAAAACACATCAAAATCATTTCCAAGATCGAAAATCAGGAAGGTGTAGACAAAGCGGATGAGATCATTGCTGAATCTGATGGTATCATGGTAGCCAGAGGAGATCTTGGCATTGAAATACCAGCCGAGAAAGTGTTCCTTGCGCAGAAGGTTAGGAATTTTGCAAGATTTTTGAAGAATCTGTCTTGTCGACTGAATTCCAAATTTGTTTTTAGATGCTCATTGCCAAATGTAATCGTGCCGGGAAACCAGTCATCTGTGCAACGCAGATGCTTGAGTCCATGGTTAAGAAGCCTCGTCCAACACGTGCAGAAGGAAGTGATGTCGCGAACGCTGTAGGTTTTTTCTTTCTCTTATTTTGCTTTGCTTCTGTTGTTAGCTCAGGCTGTACAAATTGACATTTTTTTCACTTTTGTTTGCGGCCGCATTTCATCTTTTTCTTTTGCCAAATCTTACCAGTAAGGTAAGGACTTGTTGCCACTGGAGTGCGTTCAGTGAGAAACACCATAACTTAACAAATATATATTTCAAATAATTTTCTGGTACCATTTCGCTCCATCTATAAGTTTTACGTCGTAGAAGAATCTGTTCCATTTCTTTTTCTGGATTTTGATCCGGCGCGAAAGGGAAATCCCCGTTTCATAATCACACAGCGGATCTGCGGTGT